GAGAAGTACGTCCCCCGCCCCAAGGTGTCCAGAGAGAGACCCCGGTGCGGCAGAGACGTTCCCCCCACGACCCCAGGGTGCCAGCGGCCGACTGGTCCCCATGAGCTTGTCACCAGCTGACAAGCGGGGCTCTGCGGTGTGACTGGGCTGGGGATCTCGGAACGGGGAGTGAGAGCTTAGTGGTGTCTGTGGGCCCAGTGGGATCACCGGGCCTTAAAGGGTCAGAGGAGAAGTGCAGACAGAGGCAGAGCCAGGGAGAGCATGCAGAGGCTGTGCTGGCTCTGAAGACGAGGCAGGGGCCCTGAGCAGGGGGTGCAGCGGCCCTGGCGAGCTGCAAACAGCAGGGCGCAGCCCTCCCCCAGCTCGAGCCTCTGAAGGAGCAAACTCAGGCAGCACCGCGGCTTCAGCTCGGGGAACCCCCGTGGGCTTCTGACCTACAGGACCCTAAGAGCGCAACCCCGTGTCCCTTTAGGCCACTGCACTTGAGGCCATCGTCATGGCAGCGTGGGAGAGGGTGCGCCGCCCTGGGTGGGCCCCAACAACACCCCCGCCCCACCCTGTGAGTGCCCGTGCGGGGGGTCCTCTGATGGCGGCCCTCCTCGACAGGCCACAGACCACGCGGACACCACTGCCGCCCTCACCTTCCCCTCCGTGCTCTCATGGAAGCTGTCCACACGGGCTGCCAGCGTGCACTTGGCGGCCACCAGCCGGGCTGCTTTCCGCCGCAGATCCTGGGGCAGGACAGGGAGGCGCATCAGAGCGAGGCAGCAGCGTCAGAGCCCAGGCTTCCCAGAACTGCAGCCTCACCGCCCTCTCTGCCCGCAGCCTCCACCTCCACTGCGGCTGCAGGCCTGCACTGACGCGCTACAGTAACCAGTGATCACCGCTGCTGTATTCTCCTCCTCTCCGGTCTGCAGATGAACCAGGTCCAGTTCACCCACATACAGACGGGGAGGCCGAGGCTCAGAGCTCGGGCTCTGTGCCCAGCTGGTAGGTGGCGCGGACGGAACTCCAAGCTGGCCTGTCGGCTCCAGCCTCCTCCGGCCCGCCCTCCAGCTCCCGACACCTGCCGCCAGCAGTGACTCCGGGGTCCGGGGGGCACTCACCGGGGGCAGGGACTGCACGATGTCGCTGTGGTAGATGTAGCCGGTGTGGGGCAGCACCGAGGTGGACGAGAAGCCCGACAGCGTCTTGCGCTGCGCCCCGAGCAGCATGATGTTGCAGGCGGGCATCTTGGAGAGGTTGGTCAGGCCGCCGGCCACCCCTGCGGCGGGAGGGGGGTGGGTGTCAGTGGGGGTGGGGCGTGTCTGCCAAGCACTGCACCTTCACAAGAGTTTCTAGCTGCAGTTCCAAGGGGGCGTCCGCCAGGGAGCATCAACGTGTCCCATCTCAGGGGGATTCAGAGGGGCTCCGAGGGGCGAAGCGACGTGCCAGAGGGTGCACAGTGAGCCACTGGTGAACCAGAAGCCCGACCCCGTGTCTGGGAAGCCACACGGGCCTGTCTGTGCTTCAGGGGGTGGTCACCGCACGGGGGCCCGGTATGAACCGCCTCTGGGTTCCGAGAGTGTGTCTGCAGGTGCAGCCAACACTCACCCCCGTCTCCAGGGTGGAAACCAAGGCGCGTGACATGGTTTGCCCAAAGATG